GGCAGCATCTTGTCGCCGAACGACATGCGGTATCCCCACCCGACCCAGCACACCATGACGGCGGCGAAGGCGTAGAGGGCCATGAAGGCCGAGTTGACGGCCCATTTCTTCTTCACCAGGCTGCCGTAGAGGATGACCAGGCCCGGGATTGTCTGGAGGCCCACGAAGGCCGCCGCCGAGAGCTGCCACGCGTTGTCGCCTTTGTTTAGCCACTCTGGGTTCGCCTCGTCGGGGACCAGGTTCGGAGGGAGCATGGCGGCTTGCTCCATTAATTTTGCTTGCTTGATGTCTGTGTTATATTTCGCGGTGGTCTTTGAGTTGGTTTATAGTGGAATGTTGGGAAGATTTGAGAATGGCCGGCTAAGGGAGGCACAAAAGAAAAATTTTGTCTTTTTTTTTTCTTTTTCTTTCCTTTTTCGTTGTTGTGGTTGTTGTTGTTGTTGCTGCTGCTGTTGTTGATAGATACGGCATGATTATTATAATAGTTATTTACGGTGAAAATGAACTTATATATATGTTGAATGATTCTAAAAAAATATTTGGCGGAATACCCAAAACTTTTGGTGGGTTGTGACAAGCAACGAAGGTCGCCAAATATAATCTTTTGTGAAAGATTTAGGGATCTACGAGACAAATCAATTTAATTGGTGATTCTGCTGGTTGAATAAATGGGAGGTGAATGAAGTGGCCTTTTTAAGTCATTTGATCACATATCGAATGACTGTTATATATATCTAAAAAAATGCGAGACGAAATTTTTTATGATTATAGAATGCTTATTCTGGTATGCATGTATTTAAAATTATGAATTGTTGATTGAATGTATGAAAAAAAATATAATTACATATCTAAGCACATCTTATATTAAGCAATCAAGTTGAATTGAAGACAAAAAAGATAAGCTAGCTGCAGTGGCGGAGTCGGAAGTTCGAAATAAGTGTATACTATAAATATATGAACAAATATTTTAGAAAGTTAATATTCATGTAAGTAATTCATTCGTCTAAGAAAAAAAAATCTATCAATACAAGCTTCTTTTTCTATAAACAACAATGACTTGTTTCATATCTAGAAACAATTGTAAATAAATATTTATTACCTATATATATATACTTAAGTAATTATATCCAACTAAATTCTTTTTATTGTATATAAAACTTCCCTCTACCTAAGTATCTATTTGATTAAAATCCTATATATACATTTATGTGGAGGTTAATAATTTTGTCCCTAAATTTTAGGTGCGTCTCAAACCAAATAAAAATTAATCCTATTTAATTAATCAAAGCTCTTAAAATGGGGATGTTATATATGATTGCAACATCATCAATCAATATCAGTATCTCCAGTGATCATCTCAAATTCCCATATGGAGGATTGAGCAATAAGATGAGGAGAAGTAAAAGCAATGCAGGCATTGGATCCTACATATGGACAGAGATGGCACTGGCTTCCAAAGGGAGTAGGTCCAAATTACATTGTTGGCCGTCCAAGGAATGCACAAAGTTGTAATTGTAACACTAATTTTATTCCTTCAACCGCAGGCTTACTTTGATATGTGTCCAATAAATGGGCCTTATCATCAACGAGCATTTTGGGCTTCACGGTGAGTATGTAAGTTTGGGCCCGCTCTCTTCTGAACTTTAGGATGGCTTTATCAAAAATACTGCAACTTGTGACGGGAAGTCATAAGGGAGTAACATCTCATACCAACAAGGTATAATGTGGAACATTAAAAGCCGACAACAAACGACATTCTAGACAGATCGTTGGCTCTAGGACAGACCATCATTAGTTCAGTTTGTGGAGAATTTTCCTGAATTCTGAATGAAAATTGGGATATAGACTATCTTCGGGCTTTTCTTACGGAGGAGATGATAATGCAGATATGTAGACAAAAGTGCATTTCTACGTAGAATCGTAAGCTTTTAAGTTTAAAAACGCGGTTTTAACTACAATAGTTATAAAAGCTGCGATTCTGACAATAAACATTTTGGTGACCTAAACACGTAAAAGCGTAAGTTTTTAAACTTTGAACCGCGATTTTTACTACATTATACAACTTCTTTCTGTTCCCCAGGAGCCTGGAGCGAACACACCAAGCTGGCGACTGACAGCTTCTGGTGAGTTTTCAATCAAGTCAACTTACCAGCTACTTCGAGCAGGAGAGGCAGAGGGTGGCCATAATCATCCTGTGTGGAAAGCTACCTAGCGAGAGTACAAAGCCTGGAGCGCACGAAAACCTTCCTCTGGTTGGTTCTGCATTGCCAGTTGCTCACGACAGGAGGGAAGACGTTGTCTACAATTTGCTCAAGGAGCCTGGGCAATCAACGTGCATGTTTCGTGAGAGCAACTTTATTGTTGATCATTTGGCCTCTGTAGGCCATTCTGTATCTGTTGGAGTTCATTTTCTAGATTAACTGAGCCCTGCTTTGGGATATTGGTTGTATTTTGATAGGATTGGAGTCCAAATGACTCGCTTAGTTAATACTTAAGGGTTAGAGCGCCCCTCTGCGCTTTGTTTTAAAAAAACACACACCACCATTTTCTCATAAACCAAATACTAACTATTCTCTATTTGTTTTGATAAAACCAATAGTTTACATTTAATTCCAATAATATTTTAAATAAAATCGGTTACTATTTTGGAGACTAGTTTCAATTATTGGTCGTGGTGGTAAAAAATCAACATAAATTTTATATTTGAAATAAGAAAGTAGTATTGTACAATATACATAGCTCGTACCCAAATAATATGTTTTGTTGGTTGATAATGATTTTTGTTTACGTGATTGATCTTATTGGGATAGAAAACAAGATAATGTAATGCATCAAATATGTAAGGGTAAAATAGTAACATGAAAATGATTCATTTAAAAATAACTACATTGACAAATACCTACATTATCGAATATCTATAGTTTTCAAATGTCTATATTCAAACAAATTACTCATTTTGAAACTACATCAAGCAATAGTTTTGTTCATAATAGTGCTGGTGGACAAGAGCTCAGTTTTGACAAATTTCTCACATACTAGCACTTGAGATTAGATCAGCTACTCCACTTAGGGGATGAAACTGGGACAAATCCAGTCCTGGTCCTCCCATTACTCGAAAAAACCCAACCCTATATGGTCAAGCATCCAATATGGCCCGACCTGACCTTGTCTGACCGGTACGGGTCGGGTCGGGTTACAAGGTCAACTACTTTATATTAGTTCACTTAACCCATTTAGTCCCTCTTTATTTAAGTCCACATTTTTTTTTACAATTTTAGCATAGTTTAATTTAAATTTTAAATAATTAAAATTTTAGCTTAGTTTAAAATGAAATTCGTCAAGAACGATATTCGAAATCAAATGGGGCCAATTTATGAATGATTGTCTAGTTACATTCATGGAAAAACGATGAATCAATGTTATTTATAAATTAAAAGTTTTGAATCAATTTATTATTATTTATTTTTGTGAATACCGTTGATAAAATTTCTAGGTCCGCCACAGTGCAAATTATTCTTCAATCTTGTCATAGGGTCCATTTCCTGCTAAATCAAGTGGTAGCAGCCTAAAAGTAAAGTTATATTCAATATTCTTAACCGGAAATATACGGTTTTTAAAATAAGAATTGACTTGTATTTTCTATTTTTTTTTTTCATTTTCAATTGATGGATTGTAGAAAAAGGAATACTCATGAAACGTGAAGGTGGAGGTAACTTTCCAAGTCAACGATGGCATTGTAAGGGAGGGATAGTTGTCAAATTAAAGGAATGGACCACATTTTTAAGCCACCCTTTCATTTTCATTTCTGTAATATATGAGAGGGTTGCTGTATTATTTTTTGAGGAGGCTAGAGATATTGATTGAATGATAGATATGAATTTAAACAGTTTCATACTTAAAATTCCACATTTCAAGCATATGAACTACTAATTTTATCGACAATAAGACAGTGATGCGTGATGTTAGTACATGGTATATGTTTCACTATGTAACGTCTCCCAACAACTCGAGTTATTTGAATCAACTGGTTTTCGACATGGCATCAGAGCCTTCTCTGACTGAGAAATCTTGTATTCGAATCTCAACTACCCTCATTTGTTAAGCACATGGTATTCAGACCTGTGCAAATTTCAAGCCCTTGTGAGTGGCTTTCGTTTGAGGGAGCATGTTAGTGAGTGGTATAAGATCCATTATTGAACCTCTTTGAGTTATTGGGATCAACCATGTTCTTGACATGGTATCAAAACTTTCCGTGACGAAAGATATTCTGTTAAGCACATGATTTTCGGACCTGTGCAGATTTCAAGCCCATTTACAGTAACTTTCGTTTGAAAGATGTGTTAATACATGAGATATGATCCACTGTAGCAGTTCCTCTCCCAACAAGGATCAACTGATTTTTGACACATGAATCCGTGTATAATCATTCAACTAATAGTAAAAAAAAAATATTCACCATTATATATAACATTTGCATGTACAATTGACAATATGTTGAAAATTCATCATCAAACGATTTTATAACTACATGGTGATGATTTCATATTTTTTGAATCGTTAGTGTCACAGAAATGTGGTGAGATTTTATGACCAACATTAGTATAAGCAGCCGGATGACGGTATCAAAACAATGGTGGGTAAAAATAAAAATAAAAAATTTCTCCCGTAACTTATTGGATAGTGAACTTTCGAAGTGAGAAAGGAGAATAGGCAGCTGATCAACAACACCGTCTGCAAGACTGCAAATCTTTCGAAAATCAACTTCACACTTTAAGAAAAAACAAAAAAACAATTAATGACGCCGTGTTCCAGAAAACCCGTCATTTTGATTTGAAGAAGAAGGTAGCTAAAAAAAGTCAGTCTTCAATTTCTTGCCATGACATATTTTCCATGCATTGAACAACGAATCCATACAACAGCCGTACGTTCAAAAGTCTTGACTTCTCTGACGAATCACGAACAATCTATATATATCGATTATTATCCCCATGAAAATCTTCTCCTCATTAACTTCTCTCTAGCTAGCTTATCTATCTAGTAATGGAGGTTTTAGCAGGAGAAGTCCTGAGCGAAGATCAAGTCTTCGAGTTCCAAGAAGCATTTTGCTTGCTCGACAAGGATGGCGACGGTAGGATTACGATCCAAGAACTGGGAACGTCAATCCGGTCGTTGGGACTGCATCCGTCGGAAGGAGAGCTGAAGGAGATGATAAGGCAAGTGGACGTGGAAGGGAAAGGGAGCATTGAGTTTGGGGAGTTCTTGGGATTAATGGCGACCAAGATGAAGGAGAACGAAGCCGACCAGCAACTCAGGGAAGCTTTCAGAGTGTTTGATAAAGACCAGGATGGCTTCATTTCACCAAACGAGGTAAGTTGATGGATTTTCATGGAGTTGGATCTCACTCTTTGTTTGAGGTTTTGCTTTTCTCCATAGCCTTTGGTGTTTTTTACTGTTCTTTTTGGTCTGGTTTTGACTTATTCTGGAAGTCTAGTACGGGGGATCGGGGATGGATCCTGAGAATAGTATGCATATCTTAGTTAGTTGGCATGGGAAAACATTAAAGTATCATGGAATTATTTTTTTTTTGTTTAGGAGGGAAAATAAAAATTCTGGTCATTTATTATAAAAAAAATATATAAGAATAAATTCCGGTCTCCTTTTTCAGCTAAGCATTTTTGTTTCACTTTGTGACTGCGGGGTCTACTAAATCTGGGGGTTCACCTGCTTGAGCTTAACTCGCTTTGCGAAAGCCTACCACTAGGATCCCATTATGCCTCCGGGAACACCCATCTGATGACTTGAAGGATCGAACCTGGGAGTTGCCCCTCCCAAGTCGTCACTTTTCTCCGCACTCACACCAGTTGGGCTATGTGACCTTTGGCCATCCACCACATTCTGAGTTGGGACTGCAAACAAATCAATAAAAGGAAATTTCAAATTGAATTTTTCCAACTTATTTTCTTTATTATTACGGGGGATGAATATTGTTTTGATCTGTAGTTGCAATGTGATCTTGTTAATTTGACTGATTTTATGAAATCTTGTGTTGCGTGAAAATGCAGCTGAGGCACGTTATGACGAACGTAGGGGAGAGAGTGACAGATGAAGAGCTTGAACAAATGGTCAAGGTAGCAGATTTGGATGGGGATGGCCGGATTAATTATGAAGAATTCGTCAAAATGATGCTTCCTTCCTTCTGATAATATACATATAAAAAGCTAGCTATAGTGTAAGAGTAATATCATTATCATGTATTTCTATTGCACTACACAAATGGGATCTAAATATCCAAAAAATTTAATGATCTATGTTTATGTACAAAAATCTTATTGTACAATTTTTCCATTTCAAAAATATTATAGCACTTGTATCATAACTAGGTTATCCATTAGATCACTCATATTATTATCCGAGATAAAGATAGAAGCAAACGTCTCTAACCTCAAAATGACTGCATCGCGACGAAAAAATAAATCAAAACCCACCAAGCACTATAGAGACAATGAAGGAGCTAGTCGCGCTAACATAAGGGAACCCATGTTCCTAACACGACCTACAACACAACGACTCTAACTAATGAAGTAAACAGAGCAAATCACTAATCTCTAGGAAGATATATAGCACATTCTCGAGCATTGAACTACTCTCCATTACAGACTTCATCCAAAAGTACTTGAGCATCCCTAAAGAAGGTCATCAATGTCTAAACCTGTTTGCACACTATCAGACTACATCTCACACAACCAGATGCTCCAAGAGAAATGGATCATCTATCCGCTAATAACACTTAGCCTCATAAACAAGAACCAAATCCAGGACATTCTGAATCAACCATTCTCCATCCCTATGCGAAACTAGTATGCTAAATCTAACACTCTTCGCAATGCCAAGTGAAACAATAACAGGATCACATTATAATTGGTAGTATCCATACGATGGATCTCTATTACTATTACTCAGTTTTAGTTTATTATCTAGCCGATTCAGGTTTCAAGTTTTAACAATTATACTACTCTAATTAACACTGAAATATGAAACTAACTAATTACAAAGTGGGAAGCTCGCTCATGCAGTGATTACCCCTAGCCACTAGCCAGATTGGTGATTAATGGTTCTCTAACTTCGTTTCACTCTTTGTTCATAATGCAGAGAGTCCTTAACAAGTCTTGAATCTCGACTAAAGCAATCGAAGTTCTACTTTCGATTGCCTACATGAACTTTATCCTCAACTAAGACAACCGACCAAGAAAATTTGAAGAACTCCCTCTACTGGATTATTATACAATACAAAGTAATGAATCGACTCACTCTATATGATTAATATACAATGATTCCCTACTTCCAATTGATGCTTTCTCAATCAACCTAATCATATATTCTCTCTCCTTGGTCAAAGCATAAATCAATAATACTTTATCAAAGAAAATTTGATTCAATAAACATAAAGTATTGGATATGAACTTGAGCTTAACAAGTGAGAGAATTCATACAATCATCAATCAAACACAGAAGATCAAATCACGGAGAGCGCAGAAACTGACATAAGCAGAGTATCATGGGTGGCCTGGATGCAAGAGTATCACTGCAAAATATATGATATTTGTTCCTTCAAAGCAAACTATTGATGTGTAGAAAACATACAGGTGATAAAATAATTCTAGATATGCCTAGGATCGTATTCCATAGGATCTTTTAATAGTAACTACTCAAACCTAACAACTTGAATTTGAGTATGCAATGCAATAGAGTAAATGAAGTGGGTTGTGGTGCCCAAAGATTTTGAGTTCCTAAGCTACTAATGCAAGAAAGAAATGAACAAAGATGTAAGCAATAAAGTAATGATTAGGTAGCTCCTTCTAGATAATCTTGCATACAATATCCTCAATAAGATGCATCTATGCATCATCTACTATAATGACATATCCCTTCCTCTAAGGTCATTCTCTACCTGAGCACGTGCCTCTTGCGAAAGAGATTTGACTAGTTAATGTGTGCTTTGGCTTCATGCCTTCACATAATCAAGGAAGAATAACGAAGTTAGGATAGAATATCCTAATTATGGACTTATGCAAACCATAACCATAACCTATAGCATCGATGATCTAAGAATAATCATTATCCTTCATTATGGATACAAGGGTAGTTAATCCTCCTAGGCATGCTATGCCTACTACAAGTGATTAGTTTCCTTGTTTGCCACAATAGTAGTATAAACAATGACTATAGTAGCATCATAGTAAATTCACATGCATAGAATAATTATAACATCATATGAAATAAAGCATCTGTGATCATATGGAAGAGATGATTAAAGAATCGCAATTACACTAAAGCATATAAAGGCATAAGCATTGATGATTATAACATGAAATGATATAAGCATCTTACGAACGCTTAGAAAGTAATACACAATCATCATAGAATTGACATCCCTAAAAATATCGACTAACAACTCAAACAAGAGTGGAGAACATCACCATAGGTACAAGCATAAATTATGAATGCTTCCCCTCTAAATCTCAATATGAATTATCCTCCTTTATGGATTGCTACTTGTCCCAAGTGGGGCAGGGTAAAAGGTGTCTACAGTTGTAGGTTTGTGCCTCTATTTATACTAGTTACACAAGGGGGTTTTCTAGTCTTTTCCTCATAAATTCGACCAAAGTCGTCCTTATAACTCAAATTCCTTCGACTTGTGGAAGAATTTACTTGCAAAGGAAGCTTCTTGGAATGCTAAGGCTGAAACTTCAAACTAACGTAACTTTGCGCTTGATTATCCGATTTTGGCGAAAGTTTTTTTTTATTCCACATCACTTTTCAAGATCTTTCCATTTTCAATTGGCCTTCATCCCCAAAAAAAATGTCGTTTACTACCCCGAATGATCAATTTTTCGATTTAGCCAAACTTTGGAAGGTCATAACTTTATGCTCCTCAATCCGAAAGTCAAAAAGTTTTTTTTATTGTGCATAACTTTTTAAGAACTACAATTTTTACTAGGAAAGAATTTTCAAAACAAGAAATATTTTTTAGTATACGGGATTTTGGGAATAACTTTGCCTTTACTTTTCACAGTTGGAAAATGCGGAGCTCAAATTTGCAGAACCTAAAACACGAGAAAAAACGAACCAATATGGAAAACTAAATCAAATCCAATTTTCAGTTTGATGCCGATGTGTCCGCAAAGAACTTCTTCGTTGGAAAAGAATTCGGGTCCTCAACTGCCATTGAGTTGGGATTTCTCTTCTCTGTATTTGGGTTCTGGTTTTGATAAAAAGTGTTGGTCTTGACCCTAACCCCAAGTTTCGAATCCATTAGGAAATCAAGAAATAAATTTTCAAAAATGTCTACGAATGAGAAATTTGAAACCCAAACTGGAAAGTGGAAACCCCTAATTTTATTTCAAAACCTAGCAAAGATGAAGAGGCAAGTAGTAGTGACCCCGGAGTTGATGCCAGTAACGGTAGACCCACCAAGGGGTTGAACCCACAAGAGAGAAGGAAGTCTGAATCGATGATGAACCACGAAACTAAAGTTTCTAGTGGAGGCGGAAGGTGGAGGCTGGAGTAACAGGGAGAGAGGGAGGGAAAGCAGTTCTGGGGAGAATTTTTTTGTCGATAAGAGGGCAGGTTTTGTGGGAAGAAAGAGAATTTGGGAGGGGGGGGGGGGGGGGGGGGGGGGGGCGGACCTGCTTCAACTAAAAACAATGAAAAAACTCAGAAGTCCCGCTACTCATTTTTTCCTTCCCTCCATAATGAATTTCCTTCAACAGCTTGTAAAAAGGAATTTCTAGCTCTTCCTCTATTATTTCAGGTTAACGAAAATTTTTTTAATTTGGTTGTTATAGTCATTGATATTTGTCGTTAATAGGCCTTTTTCTTGTAATGTTTTTTTCTTTTCGGTTCCTTGATTTTAATAATTAAATGTGGAGTACGTTGTAGCAATCCCCATGGAACGATAATCTTACTTACTTTTATTACTCGATCAATAATTTGCATATATATTTTATCGCATCAGTGTCACTTTGATTATTACCCTTCACTTTCTGCATACAGCTGGCTTCATATCGATGAGTACAAACTACCAAGCATGGTCGATCCATCCATCCATCATCAACTTCATCTTCTTTGGTAGTGGAAAGTAACTACCCATCATATTTCTTTGCTCCGAAACCTCAAAATGCTTCCATCCTTTTTATAGGATGGAAGCAGAGGTCAAGAATGGAATGGCTAAAAGGAGAAAAAAACACAAAGGTGTTCCATGCAAAAGGAACAGAAAGGAGGAAGAAAAACACAATAAAGAAGCTCTAAGATGATCAAGGAAAGATGTACCAGGGCCAAAAGGAGGTAAAAATGCTTTATGAATTACTATTCTGATTTGTTCGAAAGTAAAATTAAGTGTACTGGCGAGTGGTGGAAGCAATTGACACTAAAGTTACTATGGAAATGAATCAAATGCTCCTCAGGCCTTCCTAAGGGAAGAAATACAGAGTGCCCTCTTTCATATGAGAGCAACTAAAGATCTAGGTAATGATGGTTTTCGTGCTCTTTTCTTTTAGAAAAAACAGGAACACCCTTGTCCAAAAGGTCACTAGGGAACTTACCAACTTTCACCATCATGGCACTTTCCCGATTGAGCTTAACGAAATGATTATTGCCCTTGTCCCCAATGTAGTCAAATTCGCGTTTTAAAACTTAAAAACTTACGATTTTACGTTTCTAGGTCACTAAAATGCTTCTACACAAAATCTCAGTTTTTTCAACTTATGTAGTTAAAAACTCCGCTTTAAAACTTAAAAACTTACGATTTTACGCTTCCAGATCACCAAAACGTTTCTACGTAGAAACTCGCTTTTGACTACATTGCTTGTCCCTAAGGTAAAGAATCCAATCTTGCTTAAAGATGATCAGCCTATCAGCCTATGTTCGGTGCTATATAAAATCCTCTCAAAAACAATTACAAGCCGGTTAAATAATATTTAGGATGATATTATTTGCGAGACGGAGAGTGCGTTCGTTACTGGAAGGTCAATCATTGACAATGGCATTGCTGCATTCGAGTGCATTTTTGCAATGAAGAAGAAGATTAAAGGTGATAAGGGTTTCCTTGCTTTAAAGCTTGATATGGCGAAAGCCTACGATCGAGTTGAATGGGTGTTCCTTGAGAAGGTTATGAAGAAGATGGGTTTTGATGATAAATGGATTAAGCTGATAATGAATTGTGTTTCCTCTGTGTCCTAGGTAGTGTCAGTCAACAAGCACAAATCTGACTTCTTCTTTCCTTCGAGGGGCCTGAGGCCGGTAGATCTGTTATCTCCCTACCTCTTTCTCGTATGCTCTAAAAGTCTGTCAGCCCTTTTAAACAAAAATGTGAAGGTAAGGAAAACTGTTGGGATCAAGATTTGTAACAGGGCACTAGTAATCTCTCATCTTTGT